ACGGGGATATATGGGAGTACAAAGACGATACAAAGAAGTACAGGGTATATGTAGAGGGGTACAGGGATATATGGGAGTATAAAGACGATACAAGGGATTAGAGGGTAGATGTAGAAGGGTACAGGGATATATGTGAGTATAAAAACGATACAAGGGAGTAGAGAGTAGATGTAGAAGGGTACAGGGATATATGGGAGTACAAAGGCCATACAAGGGATGGGATTAGATGGGATGTGTAAAACGTCACGGGAATAGTTCATATGGAAATTCAAGGAGGATATCAATAAGAAAATTGTATAAAGAGGGGAATGACAATCCACGGGAGTTATTGGTCCGTTAAGTTTAACCCAAGGATAAGACAAATTTAATGCCTACGCCTCTTGCCCACGAAAAAAAAGTGGGAACATGAAATGTATTGTTGAGATAATCTCATTTAATATTTAATATATAGGACGTTAAAAACAATCGCGGAGTAAAATTTGATTTGCGCTAACCGGCCATTTCAGGTACCGGGCTCCAGTGGGAAAAAATAATAGAACGAAGAATAAACACATAAGATAACAGGGAACATGTGCGAGTACGTACATGGAGGATAGGGAAGTGTTGGATGGGAAAACATGGAGAAACCTAGCGGAGTAGGGACTGACAGGAAGGTACGGACAATACAGGGAATAAAAGGGCGACAATACGACAATTGCATGATGACGTCATTTGGTAACTTAACAAAGTTATGAGAGTTATTCCTTTTTGTTGGTTTCTTTTCAAAATTAGGGCTACTGATTCTTACATTTCTCAGTAGGATTGACAAATTAGGGTTTAAATATGACGTCCATTTAGTTACAATTTTCGAAGCTTATCTAAAAAATTCCCTACAATTTTCTGAAGTTATTTTTTCACATTTTGGTCCACATTTTGGGCTAATTTTCGTGGAAAAAGAAATCTTTTATTTCCGGATTCAAAAATATGATGGAGTGAGAAATCAGAAAAATTCTCACTTTCGTAAAATGTTCAATTACATCTAAATTTTTCGATAAAATAACACTGAGGCCCTTATAATTTCGAAAAGCCTCAACGGCTCCCCAGTAGGATGACCGCACAGATTTTTACAGCGCCGCTTATAATGCATTTCTAGAGATCTAAGAGTACTCTGGATAGCCTTTTGAATGCATTTGAGAAGAATCCATCGTTGAATGCCCCTGACAAGAGCATAGTAACATCACATAACTTACCAGTGAACTTGCCAGTAAAGGGCCAAGCAACAGCCAAAAAAACAGTGAGCACAATCGAAACATCGTCGGAGAAAATAAATCTCTGAACCTGCTACAGAGGGAAATAATTAGTTTCAAAGGACAATGTGAACGGGAAGTCTTAATACCAATTTTTTCCAAAGCTTCTCTTCCCTTTCAGAGTCTATCAGCAGTGTTTCTTGGCATGCGTTATCCCTCACTTGAGGCACATTTGCCAAGTGAATGATTTTCTTGGCTGAGATAACCTTTTTATCGCCTTGAGTTGTCTATTTTGCCCGCTGCAATTTATTGTTTAGAAATACGAACTTTTTCTTGTTCGAATTTAGATCGATTCACCCTTCCCCTTTGTACTTGTAAAATTCAACTTTTCCTCGTCTCATTAATAAGGTCGATGTTTTACTCATTCAAAAAAAAAAACAGTAAATGAAATTTGTTGGAAATACATTCCAAATGAGGATTCAGCGGTTATTTGCATATTTTTGTCGTGTTCAAAACTGAAAAAGGTACAAATATAATTTATTAATATGCAAAAGATTCTAGCCACGGAATATAGAAATAATTCTTATTTTCGTTTTATTAAAAAATTGAAGTTATCATGAAAATAAGTGATAAAGTGCCAAAAATTTAATGTCAAGTGTAACAGTTATAGACATAGTCGAGTACAAGCGTCCAGACTGATTAAGTCACATAATTGAGCCTTCTTCACACTGCAAATTCATTTAATAATGGCCGAATTTCTACTACGAGAGAGGAATAATGCCAACTGACCGGAGACGGATATAAATCGTGTAGAGATAAATCACGTGTTTAGACGCCCAAATTTGTGTGTACTTGATCAGAGGTGCCGACAGGCGGGACGAATTTTTGGGGCCAAAATTCTACTTAAGACGAAAATTTATATCGGGACGATTTATCCCTCTCAGAGACAGATAATTATTCGTCTCCGGTAGAAATTTTGTCAATGTCGCATTAGCAAGATCATCTCTTACTCGGTAACACCTTTGCATACCGCAACTCTGTCCACCAAAATTTGCAATTTTAATGAAATTCTTTTCTGACAGGGCCTAAAAAGCTGGTTTAAATAGCCATATTAAATCGCCGTTAGTTTTAAATTAGGCGAAATAAAAACACTGTTGAGTTCTTAATTTCCTACGCTGGCCTAGAAATGACCTTTTCTCGCAGGAAAATTTTTTGCAACTTAACGTATTTCGAGAAACTTTTTGCATTCTGAGCAATTTCTCAGGTAACTTCAAATTCTGCGATATCGGAGCAGCTCTTAGGGCTTAACTTGGCCTTTCTTCTATTTTTAACAATGTTTTAGTTGACAATTTATGAATTTCCTGTAAAAAACAACCCAAAGTTTCCTCCCCGGGGCAAATAATGGGCGCAAGATAAAAGTAGCCGGGCAGCTAGGCCAGCGGGTTTTGGAGACAATTCAAAATGGTGAACGAAGATTCACACTCGACTGACTTGAGTGTCTCGGATGAAGAGGGTCATTGAACAATTTTATTGGCTCAGTACATTTTTTGGTTTTAATTGAGGAGAAAGTTATTTATCAACGCTGGTTACGCGGCAAAATTGCACTATAATGCTTAGAAATCTTATCTTTTTTGTATATTTTGCATATTTTATCATCAGAACAAAAAAAGTTTTTGTTTCCTTGAGCAACTTTTGGGCAACTTTCCTTGCAAAAGCAACCTTTGATTGTTTTCTGAGCAACTTTCGAGCAACCGCTTGAGAAGTTACGGCAAACCTTTTGGAAAATCTGGAGCAACTTGTGGAAAGCCCTAGTTTCAGCCCAAAGATCTACCTGACAAAGCGCAAGACATCTGCAGATAGAATCTGTGTTCCAATTTTTTAATAGTTTTTTTGATCTTTGAAAATATTAGTTTTGAAATCTACATAAAATCTGCTTCTTGATGGTGGTTTTGTTGTCGTAGTGCAAAGCATTTTTTCACCTAATGCTGTGCGTTTAAAGTTACAATAGTGAGATGCGCCATGTGCGAATTTTTGCAACGCCATGTTTATTTTATGTTCTATTGCTGTGTGATGGAAAAGCACTTTGTTTTTTGGAATAAAGATGCCCGTTTTGTTATAAAACTTTATACGAAAACCCGAACTGTCCAGATGGCGTTGGTTGGTCCAAGAAGCAATGTAGTTTCGCCACACGGGATTGTTGTTGACCAATCGAGCAGACCTTACGGGACCGACATTAAGATTAGTGATTATGGGGAAGTTCTAGAAGCTTTTTTTTGAGTGATCAAATAAATAAAACTAGGTAGAGAAAGTTTTTTCTAAGGACTTTTTTTTCGGAAATTTGAGCGACATATGAAACAAATCTAATGGCTCAGGCAACATAGTTTTTACATACGTAAACGTTACAAAATAATTCTTTTGAGTAGCTTGCGGAATACTTAGAGCTACATTTAAAAAAAATGTCCAATAATCACAAAATTGCAAGAAAGTCGAAGAACAACCGATTCACTGATAGTTTGTCTAGATTGACACAACATGTATTAGCCTATCTTCGACTATCCCAGTGTAAAAAAATACACTGCAAGAGGGGATATATCTCGTTCGAACACTGATTATTATCCGTCAATAATTATAAAGATGTGTTTGTTGTTCTATAGAAACCGAAAAAAAAGCTTCTGGAAAACTTCAAGCACTATATACTTTAATAAATCCGTTGATTTTGTTCCTCGTTGTAAATACTTAAATGTTTTCAAAAGCCTCTCGCCGCATCGAAGATCGTTTAGTCTTTTTATACGCATTTTGATTAACAATTTATTATTACTGGGTAACTAGGTTCTGCATTAAGCCTTAACCACCTTTGAGCCAACTAGTTCTGTATTAAATCTTAACAGCCTTTAAGCCAATTTTGGCATCCAAAATTGATGAACCTATACCGTCACACACTTAACATACCGTTTCCAAGATGATTTACAGAATTTTTTAAAGTTCTTTATACACCCTTTAGTGTGACTGTTCCCTTAGCGTTATCCGGTGCCTGGTCACAGCTGTAGTCATGATATAGGCCCTCAGTTTTCTTTCCAAGTAACCAAACCGATTACGACTCATTATTAAGAATCAACGAGTGATGGGGATGGGAGACGAATAAAAAAACTCGTTAATTCATTTGAACACATTAATGGAAACAATTTTAACAGCAAATTACTAGTGTGGTAGCGACATCACACCACAAATGACCATATGAAAATCTTGATAAGGAAATCTCCTTTGCTTTCAGTACCAGAGAGGGTCGAAAGGCGTTAGCGAAATAGAGATTACTTCATGGTTGGTGAGTGCGTACGATTTTTATTCACGAGTTGTGAAGAATCGAAAACTCACTCGTTCGCTGCGCTCACTCGTTCGTTTTCGATTCTTCACAACTCGTGAATAAAAATCGTACAAGCGAACCAACCATGAGGTAATTTGTTTATTATATATGTACTGAGATATTACAAAATAATGTTAACAACTATCAATTGCGCGGTGAAATCAACACAAAGACCACAACGAGTTGCGAATGATTTTATTCGAGCAAACTGAACGTACAAAACTTCCTACAACATTAAAGTTATTCAATGACTCTGAAGAAAGTGGAACAAAGTCTACTTTTAAACGATTCTTTAACTTTAAATAACAATGAAAATTTTCAGCTTTAAATATCGCCGTTCAAAACCGTAACTAAGATATAAAATTTGAAAAAGTTGACTGTTTTGTAAATCTAATTATAGTAATGCATGCATTCTAATCAGAGTCAGAGTCCAGTACTTTTAGCCTTTTGTACCTCTTTGGAGAAGACTTTACCTCAACTTCTTGGATTGCCAACTTCGGGGATTGATTGAGGCTGTTAATAGAAATGCTGAATTGACCTCCATGAATAACAGCGCCCGTGAAAAGCGACATCGCTTGTTGGTGATGATCTGCCGCCGAGCGACCCGCCGAGCTAGCTGAAGGATCAGTGGAGCATTCTCCAACTTGAGATGAATTAGTTTTCTCTAAGCTATGCACATTCCCGGACATCAGTTCACTTAAAGTACGAGACATTTTTACTTGCTGTTTTTCAGAAACTACAGAATAATTTGTCACACTTTGAAGATTTTTATGTCCCGACAGTTGAATAATATCTGTCGCTGGGATGTCGTTGTTTGTTAAAGTTTGGATCATTGTTTTGCGACCGCTATGGTTCTTTACATTGGGCCCCAGCCCGGCTTTTTCTGCCATTTTTTTCATTAACGAATTCAGCTTGTTCACGCCAACGGCTGACTTTTTAAACCATGGTTTAGAAGAATCTTGTTTTTTACAGTTATTTACTGCTAGATAAAATGGCGCGTTGTTGTCGTTCATTTCCGACGGTCTTTTCTCCGCGTAGAATTTGTAAACAGTGACGGGATCTCTTTCACTTCCCTGAACCGAAAACATTTTCGGTTTTATTTGCCTGACATCTCTGGGATTTTCTCCGGTTCGAGTCTTAGTTTGTCTCTCAGTATACTCTAAAAATTCCTCGCCATTTGTAGTTTGGCGTAGTTGCACATCGCCCCAACACATGTCTCTGTGTTCCTTACAACCACGGAGACCGAAATAGACTGTGTTGTTGAACCAAACTGTATTCAGTAGAGCCTCAGGAGTTGACTTTCCTAACAATCCTTTGTCATACAGCAGTTTTATGTCGTCTTCTGTGAGGGGAACTGAAGCGTTTGGTTTATCGCCTTTGCCTTTCTTCTTGAGATCTCTTTGTTTTGATTTTAATGCCGTTCGTGCTTTTTCAAACTCGACGTCTCTCATAATGCTGTAGCCGTAATTCTTCTTCTTTAAATACCGTTCAAAACTGGCCATCATAGCACGCAAGGAAGTGGGTTCGTAATCTTCGTTGTTTTCTTTCTTTCTTACTGTTATGATAAATTCGCTGATGAATGAACTCAGTTCGTGTGGGGGAATTTCTTCTACAGGCCTTGACTCATCTTTTAGCCTCAAAAACTCCTTAAGCAAAGCAACATTCTGTTCAGTTTTCTTCCTGGTGTTTTCGTTTTCTTGTCCTTCAATAAATTCCTCTACTGAAGTTATATCTGCAAACCTTGAATTGCTCGAAGAAGACGCCATGGTTTTCCTTTTGCCTAGTGACGCCGTCAGTGAAAGGCGGGAAAATCGATACGATTTTTGTCACTAGTGAAAACTTTCGTCTGCGGGTTGTGATTGGTCATACGGTATTTTTCACTAGTGAGAAAAATCGTACAACCAATCAGATTGCGTGTACTCTGCAACGCATCATTTTTATTTGACATATTCATTTTGCAGTAAATCTCAGTACATATATAATAAATGCATTTATTCGAGCGAACGCGGATGACAGCGGTGAAGTGGAGAGATGATTACTATCGAGTTCTATTGCTGGGACTAAACCATTAGCTATCAACATTAAATCAGTTTCTTTAACACGATACAAGGGAGTATAGGGTATATGCAGAAGGGCCAGGGGATATATAAGATAACAAAGGCGATACGAGAGATACGAGGGTGTTATGTAGAAGAGCACGGGGATACATGGGGAGTACAAAGACGATACATGGGAGTAGAGGGTATATGTAGAAGGGTACAGGGATATATGGGAGTACAAAGACGATACAAGGGAGTAGGGGGATATGTAGAGGGGTACGGGGATATATGGGAGTACAAAGACGATACAAGGGAGTAGAGGGTATATGTAGAAGGGTACGGGGATATATGGGAGTACAAAGACGATACAAGGGAGTAGAGGGTATATGTAGAAGGGCACGGGGATATATGGGAGTACAAAAACGATACAAGGGAGTAGAGGGTATATGTAGAAGGGTACGGGGATATTTAAGATAACAAAGACAATACGAGAGATACGAGGATGTTATGTAGAAGGAGATGGGTATATATGGCAGTAAAAGGATGATACAAGAGAGTAGAGGGGATATGTAGAAGAGCACGGGGATATATGGGAGTACAAAGACGATACAAGGGATGGGATTAGATGGGATATGTTAAACAACACGGAATAGTTAATACAGGAGCATATCAATGAGAAAACTGTATAAAAAGGGGAATGACAATACACCGGAGTTATGGGTAAGGTTCCTCGAAGGATAATTACGTTTAACCCAAGGATAAGACAAATTTAATGCCTACGCCTCTTGCCCACGAAAAGGTAATGTGGGCATGAAGTATAATGTTGAGCCTTAACTCTAAGATCCAGGACCAACAACAGCATGATAATCTCATTTCATGTGTAGGAAGTTAAAGATGACCGAGCAGATACAAATTTTACAGCTCCGCTTATAATGCATTTCTAGAGATCTAAGAGTACTCTGGATAGCCTTTTGAATACATTTGGGAAGAAGCCGTCGTTGGGTGCCCCTGACAAGAGGATTGTAACATCACATAACTTACCAGTGAACTTGCCACTAAAGGGCCAAGTAACAGCCAAAAAAACAGTGAGCACAATCGAAACATCGTCGGAGAAAATAAATCTCTGAACCTGATACAAAGGAAAAATAATTGGTTTCAAAGGACAATGTGAACCGGAAGACTTAATACCAATTTTTTCCAAAGCTTCTCTTCCCTTTCAGAGTCAGCTATCAGCAGTGTTTCTTGGCATGCGTTATCCCTCACTCGAGGCACACTTGCTAAGAGAATGATTTTCTTGGCTCAGTTTTATCGCCTTGAGTTGTTTATTTTGCCCACCGCAATTTACTGTTTAGAAATGCGAACTTTTTCTTGTTCTAGTTTAGACTGATTCACACTTTCCCTTTGTACTTGTAAAATTGACGTTTGCTCATCTCATTAATCATTAATAAGGTCAATGTTTTAATTTAAAAAAAAAACAGCAAATAATGAAACTTGTTGGAAAGACGGTCCAAATGAGGATTCAGTGCGGGTTATTTGCATATTTTTGTCGTGTTCAAAAATGAAACAGCTACAAATATAAATTTAAAAATGTTGCAAAAGATTCTAGCCACCGAATATAGAAATAATAATTATTTTCGTTTTATTAAAAAAAATTGAAGGTATCATGAAAATAAGTGATAAAGTGCCAAGAGTTTAACTGTCAAGTGTTATAGAGATACTCGAGTACAAGCTTCTAGACTGATAAAGTCACATAATTGAGTCGACTTCTAGAAGATTGTTTTAAGCACTGCAGATTCATTTAATAATGGCCGAATTTCTGCTACGAGAGAGGAATAATGCCAACTGATCGGAGACGGATAAATAGTCTAGAGATAAATCCGTTGTTCAGACGCCCAATTCAAATTCGTCAGCACTTGATCAGAGGTGCTGATGAACGGGGCGAATTTGGGGCCAAAATTCTACTAAACACCAAATTTATATACAGTATATTATTTTATATCTAGACGCGATTTATCCCTCTTAGAGACGGATAATTCGTCTCCAGTAGAAATTTTGTCAATGTCGCATTAGCAAGATCATCTCTTACTCGGTAAGATCTTTGCATACTGAAACTCTGTCCACCAAAACTTGCATTTTTAATGAACTTCTTTTCTGACAGGGCCTAAAAGGCTGGTTTATGAAATTGCGAATAAATTGCCGTATTAAATCGCCGTTAGTTTTACATAAGGCGAAATGTAAACGCTGCTCGACAAAATTGCCCATGACCTAAGCCGTACAATGAGGTATGCCGAGGCACTGTACATGATTTTAAGAAACATTTCTTTGGGCGGCTCAGCCGTCAGAAAACTACGGAAATACAGAGGAATGCTGCGGCGTTTTGGAACTTCATAAGGAAATCAGATTAGATTGGTCCGAAATATTCGGGACTGTTCTTCAAACTGGGACTTCAAGTGCCTTATTGGCCACTTGAGAATAGGTTTCGTCAGTTTATCAGGAATTTATCGGGAAAGTGAATACACTGTTAATAGAATTATCAGGAAGTTTCAGAAGCTTTTATTTTGAGTGATCAAATAAATAAGACTAGATAGAGGAAGTTTTTTCTAAAACGTTTTTTCTGAAATTTGAGCAACATATGAAACAAATCTAACTGCTCAGACAACATACTTTTTACAAACATAAACTTTCTTTAGTAAAAATTCATTTGAGAAGCTTGCGAATTACATCTCCCTTGCTGGGAAAAGATGAAATAGGATTTTTGCGATTAATTTTTGTTTAATGTATTTTTTTTTGTGGGGGGGGTGGTGGGAGGGATGATTTTTTTGCCCTCTTCATAGTGGCTTTAACTGCAGAGTGACTCCCTTCCCCCCCCCATTCACTCCTCTTCAAAAGTACTTCGGTACATCTGAAAAGCTCCAAAGGGAGTGATTTTAAAATGCATGTGGCCGTCTACCAGTTCCCTTGTTTTAGATTGATCAAAAAAAGGGAGATGAGTTAGTTTTAGACAATCCGGCTCCTTCTAAAAAATGACATTCCGAATGATCTACGCTTGCTGGTCCAAGAGGTCATATTTGGCCTTTTAAACCTTGGGCCATCTAATAACCAGCAGGGTTTGAAAAGGTTATAAAAGAGGTGAGAAATCCCGAGGGCAAGTCGTTCAATTAGGCAACCAAAGATTGAGTCCAGGTGATTACTTTTATTACCACAGCAGATTTCGTGTGCAGTTGTTGTATGGAGTGGAATCATCATGAACTCCCATATACTGATCAATTGGAACTTTCACCACGGCTGCAATTTCTCTTTTTTCGTTTCTTTTCTCTCTTTCTCCCTCTCGCTTCCCTCTCTCTCTCTCTCTTTTGGAACGTCATTTAATTTCCTCAAGTTTAGTTCTCCAGGGTTGTTTTAAAATACATTACGAGTTATAGAAGCACAACTGAAGAATATCAAATACATAATGTCCCCTGAAGACTTCGCGTTATGCACAGAAAAATCAACAACTATCAAACAAGATGTTTGTTTTCAACACTTTTACTGTTTTCCAGTCTTGGTGTCATATGCAAAGTTGATGGTCGTTGTCCCAGTATAGGAGTCAATACTGTAACAGTAGATCACCCCACAGGCCACAAATGCATTTCCCATGGAGCTCATAACTTCTGCAAAATAACATTAAATGGAAACTCGGAGTAAGATAATAATTAACTATATGACCATTTTCAATCAAGTGAGTAATACTGCATAAAATTATGCGCAGGCTGGACGCGTCACGTTCTGATCAACTTGGGCATGAAGTTAAAACTTAACAATTAGACCGATTATTTACGCTTTCTAAGAGAATTTACAACTCAAATGTTGTCTTTTACACTCGTATGGTAAGTGAAAAATTTCAATTAACGAATTTGACTCAAAATTTTCGATCACGCGCGTCATACCAGTTTCGTAAAGTAAAGGAAATGCACAGGAAATTTAGGTCATTGAAGAGAGCTTCTTTTCATGTGGGGTGAAAGTTGAATTGACCGCCTTAAAACCAGAACCCTTCAGTTGCTATAGTCTGGCTTAGAAAGTGTTGGCCTGTATTTAGTTACTAAGATGAATACTTTTGAATAAAAAACTGCCAGAGTGCATGGAGTCACAAATGGTGTCAATTCTCTCCTGATGGTGTTGTGGTGGTGACCCCTATAAACCGTCCGGGGCATCTTTTTTACATGGACACTTTGCGCAAAGGCGAGGATCGATTTATTCCTGTTTTTTTTTTTTTAGTTTCTCACAACTGGAACTGCCCTGACTACAGTATAATGTAACAGAAATGCGGTTTCGCTGCACATTCTTGTCTTGCCCCTATCTCAGCTCGTAAGGTAAGATTGTAATTATAATTATTAAGCATATTCTCACAAAAATCTGAAGAAAAAAACTGTTTAATATTCAATTTTTGTAAATTTCCTTATTATATAGATACTTTCCTCTTGATAAATAATTGTGTCCGTCGTCGTAATTTTTTTTAGAGACAGTCTAATTGACGGGGCCTAATCAACATAAGCTGTTAAGTTTCCTTTAGGCCTCCTCGCTATTACTTTCTCCATTTTTTAAAATCTTTTTTGTTATTGTAATATTATCTGTGTGGCAAATAAATAAGAATACAAAATACAAAGGGGATAGACTGTATTTTCTGGAATAAAAAGCTCCGAGGGTAGCGGTCTTAGCCTGGGTACAGCCGTAAGTCTACTTTTCCCTTT